GGGAAATAGTCTTCCCTGTACTGAACTGGACAGATTCGATGGTCCAGTCATAAACATGGTGCTAAGTACATTGAGGGTCTTAAATAATATGTATGAAATAATTGAATGGGAGCAATCGATAGCATTCCCAAATGTCTGCACTCTTTCAGGTTTGCATTTTTAAAGTAAATGTCTTTATTTATTTATGTTTAAAATCATCTTGGTTATTCCCTTGTAACACTTGTGACCACATGTCCACAGTTTTAGGCTATTCTGTTTGATATTTTTTACTGCTGATTTTATTTCACCTGATTATTTCATCTGGGTCTCTAAAACTACATTATGAAATACCTTAATTATTTAAATTAGGACCAGATTAATTATCTCTAGTGTACAAACTCAAATTAATTTCATTATTAACCTGAGTTTTAAATTGATTAATCTTGGAGTTTTTAAGGAACTGAGTGTTTTGTTTTTTTTTTCATCCTCAAGGAGAAGGGCATATTTGATTTGATGAATCTCTCTCTATTGTACCAGTTATGGTAATAGGAGTAAGAATTTGCAAGAAAACTTTAGATGGATTTTATAAACCAGCCAGAAACCTGTGTGTCTAGGGCTTCTGGGGGAACAATCTGTGAGTCATTTTAAAAAACAAACACACTCATAATCACAGTGCATGTTGTTACCATGGTAATTAGGCCTGTTGAGTTGGCTTGCTTATGTTCCTGTAAAGGGAAGAGGGGAGAGAAATGAAGAATTCAGAGCTTTGCCTATCAGCTTCAATTTGCCTATTGCAAGAGAGACTGGGGGGTGGGGGGGTTCTTGAGAGCATACTGGCGCAGTCATCCTGAGAGGGAAGTAAAGAAACTCTGGCATCCTGCCTTTGTTATGAATGTAAGTTAGCCATATCAGTGTTGGGTGCTGTGATTCACAGGGGAAAAAAGGACCATTTGGCATTCTCTTGGGAAGCAAGGAAAAGTAGGTTCTATATCTGATACATAATCACACAGAAGTCTCCTCAAAGTCTACCTGGTGAAATGTCTCCTGTGCACATGCATAGGACTTCAGTGATCCACTAAAAGTCAGCAATGCTGCTGGTATAACATTATTCCAGATTTAAAGGCAACTCAGTGCATTACTCTAACATCACTAGAGACTGGTTTTAGTGAGGTCTCAGTTTCAGAGCAATCTTTTCTTTACCTTATGAGCTAGGTAGGCATGGCTGCTTTATTTTGGATAGTCATAACACAGAACCAGTGGGTCACAGAGGAAGTCAGGGAGGTCTTATAAGTTCTACCAAATGTAGGAATGATTCATTATGGGACTATATGGAGAACAAACAAAAGCCTTAAATGAAAGGTATGTGTATATATCCAAAGCTATTTTGAAAAATGCTTCCAAGTTCACTGTATGAAGTCAAGGTGTCTTCTAAAATGAATAAGTAAAATGCATTGACTAGAGTTTTATTTTCTAGAGAATTCCTCAAACAAATTTTCTTTAGAATTAGTTTCCTTATTAAAACTATTTCCTAAATACTTAAAGTGCCATAGAGTGTGATTAGAAGATCACATAAACTCAGGGAATGTGTGTGTGATTTATACCCTGGTATATGAGACAAAAACTACTATTTGCACTGTAGACTTCATTTTACTTCTTACATGTGGGGAGAAAGCACATACTACTCAAATTTCATTCTGCACTATCTTAATTTTCTTAAGGTTAATAAACAAAGTTTGACTTAATTTTTTTTCTGATCAAAGTAATTCATGGAAATTGTTGAAAATTTAGGGAAAAGCTATAAAAAAAAAGTTTAAGTATGACCCCCCTTCTCTTAATTAGGTGGTTGGCTGAACTGTAGATAACAGAAACCTAATTTCACAGTTGCTGACAGAAGTTACAAGGTATTTCTTTTGAATGTAACTACTAGCCCAGGGCTAATAAGACAGTTCCACTCCATAAAATCATTTGGGGGCCCTCCCTGGTGGCGCAGTGGGTTAAAGCACAGTACTGAGAAGCTGAAGCCACTTCTGCATGAGTTCGATTCCCGCCTGCCCCGGAGGTGACCACATGGTGTGGCAGACCTCTCCTGACCCTCCCGCTGCTCCCCTCAGCAGTGTACTTCGTCGATCTGCCTGTTCTGCTCCCCACTCTGTCTCTGATGAAGCCTCTCACCGCCCCCCCCCAGTTCTGTATGCACAAATAAATAAATTAAAAAAAAATCATTTGGGGACCCAGACTCCTATGATGTTCTTCTATTCAGCAAATTTTCCTTACCTTATGACTAAGATGGCTTATCACAAGGACTCTATTAAAGACAGCAAGAAGAGCAACCGCTGAAAAGGGGAGAGCTTAGTTCAAAATTTGCACCTATTACTTTTGCAAAGTAATAGTGGGCTTTACCTCATGACTATACACCTAGCAGGGAGGGAGAATGGAGAAAGCCATTATTCTTGCTATGGATGTACCTACTTTAAAATGCTATTGCAGTTTTCCCCTAGTATAAGAAAGTAGAGGTTCTTCTTTGATTATGATTTGGTAAGTTATTTTTGGATTCTGGGAATGTTCAAAAATTTTTACTGCCTAAATTAATGCTAATTGGGCCTTTCCTGGTGGCACAATGGGTTAAAGCACTAGGAAGCAGTCCATAGCCACTGCAGCACACGTTCAATCCCCAGCCAGGAAGCTGACCCACATGGCATGGCAGACATCTCCTGTCTCGCTTACTGCTCCCCTCAGTAGTACTTTTCAGTGTCTCTGACTGTTCTGTTCCCCACTCTGTCTCTGGTGAACCCTCTCATCCCATACACATCTGGCCTGTACCCCAGTTCTTGTGTGCATAAGTAAATCTTTTTTAAAAGGTTTATTTATTTATGCATACAGAACTGGGGTTCAGGCCAGAGGTACAAGGGCAGTGAGAAGATTCAGCAGAGATACACTGGGGAGTAGAACAGGCAGATCAACTAAGTACACTGCTGAGGGGAGCAGAAGGTGAGACAGAAAAGTCTGATGTACTGTGGGTTACTCCCTGGCTAGGAATGGAACTCGCACTGAATCTGTCTCTGCTAGCTTGCAGGGCTGCACTTTAACCCACTGCACCACTAGGGATGGCCCACATAAGTAAATCTTAAAAAAGAAAAATTAATGGAAATAGCATTCCCAGATGCAAAGAAAAGAAAAGACAAAACACCTATTAAGTCATATAGCAACCTTCTACTTTTAGATAATGGGGTAAACCTGTATGGGCATTGAAGATGACAGCAAATATTGGGGCACATCTAGCAATTTCTGCTACTTCTATTATCCTATACAAAGAGATAATATGTTGTTTATATGTTGATGTGTCTTCTCATCTTTTTTCTAGAAAAATATATATGTGAGCAAGATATTATACATATGCTATTTATTAGAAGATCATATAAGATATTGTGGAAGAATATTACATATGAAAAGCATGAAGATGTACTGGAAAATATGTTTAAATATATAGATAGTAGAAAACTAGCTGAGGGCCCTCCTGGCTGCGGCAGCCTCAGTGTGAGTTCCAGCCCCGCCCCAGAGGTGACCCATATGGCCTGGCAGGTTTTGCCTGTCTCCTCTACTGCTCCCCTCAGCAGTGTACTTCGTTGATCTGCCTGTTTTGCTCCCTACTCTGTCACTAATGAATTCTCTGACTGCCCCTGTACCTCTGGCCTGTACCCCAGTTCTATATGCATAAATAAATAAAATCTAAAAAAAAAGAAAACTAGCTCAGGTTGTATAATTTTATCTTCTCTCTTCACATAACTTTATAGCATGTGTTTTTTCTTCATCAAAGTATTTGTATTTATTGTTTCAAATTTCATCATGTGAAGTATTTCTATTTGTCTTGAATAGGTTGATTATTATTGATATTTCTGTCTACTTTTTTATAAAGTCAAGGAGTGGTATCACTAAAGTGATGATTGAGAACATATTTTAGGATCTTGATAAAAGTAGCAAGTTTCTTCCCAGGAAGTTTTGCCAATTTATGCTATCACTAATAATATCTGAGTACTTTGACTTATTTTCTCAAGTCCCACTAATTGTTGTTATCCTTGGGGTTCAGTCTCTAAAAATAGTTTGTTTTTGTCTTTGGCTTATTTCCACCTTTGCTGATATTAATCATGAGATAATAGTTTTCTAATAACATATCACTCCTTATAGTCCTCTGGGAATATAATTGGTTGGGTTGAGTTTATGGGATATGTTCCAGTCTTAAGCAGTACAGGGTCTCTAGAAACTTGGATATTTATTGGATCCTCGCACCCATTGTGAATTTTATTTCATACTCGTCGTCAAGGCAAGGTACTTTATTCTGAGACACAGCAAATAACAAATGGTAAAGCACTTCCTGAGGAATAGGCATTTTCCATTGTGCTGGATGTAAGGAGCTTCTCAATTATGAACCACTGTTGGCAAAAATCGATCAACTCTATTCAGTAACCTTGAGGCCATTAGTAGCTAGGGGTAAAGGTTCCCCTATTTCTAAAGAGCTTGCAGAAGCTTAGGATGCTAGGAATGCTTTTGTAATGAGTAACTGGTTCCAACCACTAGCTTAACAGTCTTCAAAGTTTACACATGCATGAATGGAACCCTAACTCTGTCCCTAACACCTGAAGCAAGATTGTGTTCTGTCTCTGCTCTTGGGTCTTACGTGGAGCAAATCAGATGAGGTCAGGAAGAATCCCTGTTCTTTTTCATCAGACTCAGTTACCAAAAAGATTCCCAAGCCAACTCTGTTTTCATGTTTTCTTGCAAGCTAAGGAGGATTAATAAAAAAGATACTCCTGTTTTCACAAGTTTGTTTCTTAAAAGACAGAGAGTTAACAACATATTTGTATCTTGGCTTAGAAATGTGAAACTGTGAGACTCTCTGCCTTTCAATCTATTCAGCCATTACCAGCAAATACTATTTACAGAACCATTCACTTGCTTTTTTGTCTCTTATATGTCTTATTGTTTCTCCATTAAAAATTGTACTTTTCTCTCTGTTTTCTCAACAGCTAGATCTGGCAGTGAGTCTCAGACTTTGGAAACTGAAAAGGTAAGAATTTGGAAATACTTTCTTCTAGTATCTTCTATATCTATAATAATTAGAACTTTAAGGGGAAGGAAATACTTTAAGTGATTCTATAGATAAAAGAACCTAGCATGTGATGTTTTCCCAACAAGACACAGTCATAGAGACTTCAGCAATACTGAGTTGACTTTAGGATTGAGAGGTAAAAAATGGCTTTATCTGATACTGGTTTAGATCCTATTTCTCAGCCAGGTTTTTTTTACATTTTCTTTTAAAAACCTGAGCTAGAGTGTTTGAAGTTGTTGTTTTAACTAAATGTATCCCTGTGGCACCAAATGCAATTAATTGTTGCAGCCATTGAGGACATACACTGTGTGAGATACATCAGAGTAGATTAAATCAGAGAAGGGTGAACCTTATCCTCAGCAGATTGGCTATAGATATTGTAAGGGCTTTTCCACCAACAATAACAGCAGCAAAAGGTCAATCGAATGATGTTGGGGCTGCTTCTTGAGGAAGATGACTTGCTTTTGAAACTAGCTAAATCCATTTGAATCTGGTTGTAGATTTTAAAGGTCACCACATTTCTGAGACAGGCAATAATGGGTTTCCCTTCCCCACCCAACAATTAGTAACTTGGATTTTTGTCCTATTTTAAAATTTAACCTCATTAGAAAAAATTTCAAGCCTATTCCAAAGTAAGAGAATAACACAATAACTTCCATATTTCTATCATTTGACTTTAATAATTACTAACTCCTGGCAAGTACTGTTTCATTTATCTCCCTAGTCACTTCTGCTTCCCCCCAGGGGATTATAGGTCAGTGACTTAACTTGGTTGTTGGATTTTAATGGTTTGCTGACCTAACTATTTAGTGGCTATAGAAAAGTGTCAATAAGAAATAAAACTTAAAACACAGCATATACAAAACTATTACCAATTCTCTGATGTTCTATATGTTGTCATAAATGTCTATCCAGTGATCTGCCTCCTGTCAGGCATACTAACTTGAGAGAACAGTAGTGTCTAACTTGTCGACCACTTTGCTGCTTGGTGTTGAGCAAGCATTTTGCATTTTTCAAAAACTTGATAAAAACTGTTGAATGAATGAATAAATGAGTGAATTCCAAATGATGAATATAAAAAACACATTGTTGTTGATCGCATGAGTTGTTCAACCTCAGGGAGGAGAAAACTGCGATGAAAGCGGGCTCTGCAGTTAGGGTTGGTAGAATCTGAGTAGATGCTATGGAGACCAGAGGAGAGCTCTAACTTGGTGGGGAATTTGGTGAGAAGCTTGCTGGATAAAGGGGCACTTGTGCTTTTATTTGAAGTCATAAATCAGAGAAGAAGGGGAAAAGCATTTTGAGTAAAAATAATCACATGTGAAAGTTCACAGAGTCCCCCACATCCAAACCATAGTGTGTTCTGAAAACCCTTAGAAATTTAGAGTGGTCACATTGTAACTGGGAAGTGGCAGACTAAAGAGATGCAGCTTGAGATGCAGGCTGATGAAGCTTGGGAAGGTGTGTCACACTCAAGAGTTTGGCTCCTAGTTTAGGCGGGAAGACAGAGAAAGCACATAATCATATATTTCCAAGGACATTTCCTTAGATTGCAGAGGGAAAGATAAACAATGAGAAAGTAATGGGAGACCAATAGAAATCATGGATTTGAAAATAATAGACCAGATGTAGAATATCTTGTGGAGTGGCTAATTAAAGATGAGAAACATAGAAAGGGAAGACAGCTAGAATAACTCCCAGATTTTTCTTTTGGGAGATCACATGGATGGTGATAACTAACTACAAATATTAGGAAGAAGGGAACAGTGTCAAATCTGTCTCACAGCCACAACCAGGTACAGTGCCCTGTGGGCTGTTCTTATGTGGCACAGAGCAGTAAAAATATCAGTCCAGGTTTTGTGTCCAGGAAATTGTCTGGTCCTTGATCACATGTTGTTGGGGGGCAGTACAGGCAGGACCTCAAAGGTGGGAGCAGCATCCGTGAGCAAAGATTCCTAAAAAAGGGGGGAAAAAGGGAGTGGGCACGAGGAAGACACGGGAGTCGGAGTTGGATGCAAGTCTTCCTATTCTGCACTTTGCAGAAGTTTATTTTATACATTAGCAAGCAGTGGGATGACATCAGCACATGAACTGGGCTGAGAGATTATAATCATCTTTTTCTCTAAGATTGTATTGCCTTTAGCTGAGATTATAACATTTATTATTCTTAAAATCAATTTATTAAAGTTAGGATAGGTATATCAATTTATAAAATTTAAGGCTAACATTGTTATATATACCACAGTGTTGATTGGCTAAAATAAAGTCCCTTTAATCCTTAAATGCTATTTAATGATCTTCATTCTCATTGAGACATCTTAGAGGGTAAAGTCAAGTGGAGGGCTAGGGTGGAGACTGGTTTGGAGATGAGAAAGAGGATAAAGTGAGGTCTGGGGCCAAGGTGAAGTTGTGAAAGAGAGTAAAGTAAAGTTGAAGACTAAGGTGGAGAAGTTTTCTGGTAGATAAATCACTAAGGGAGATAGTAAGATTCCTCCTTTAAAGACTAAGCAATAAAAGCTTAAGAGAGTTGTGTGATAGGATTTGGGTTCTCGTCTGGGCAGTAAAAGAACTTTAAATATTTTTTTAGCATGCTGTAATACTGCCTTGTCTTACAACATTGATTTTGTTATAATTACTTTTATTAATCAACCAGTTGTAATATTATTTTTTGCTTTCTAGAGGAATTTCCTGTCTTGGGGCAGTGCTTGCTCGCCTGAGCCAGGCAGCGCCTTATGAGGCCAAAGCAATACGGTTGCAAGCTGATGGTTGCTTAGAATAGTTTGATATTACAAAAAAGGGAAGGCATAACATAAGTTAGCGTGGAAATTCTGATTTTTTCAGAGCATTTCCCTTCCGTTTGGAATTTGTCTGTCAACAGAAGTTGCATATAGCTTGTGTCAGGAAATCACTTAAAATACTAGTAGGCAGACCTTATCCAGTTGAATAAGTATCCCTGAGGGAGGGACTTGAACATCTGTGTTTTTTAAGAGCTTTCCAGGTTGAATCTTTGCTCTAGAAATGATTAAAAGAAAGATGTGCTTGTGTATATGGGGGTGGGTGTGGTATGTGTGTGTGTGTGTGTATGTGAGCACATGCATACACTTTTAAGACCTTAGGTTGCTTTTGCTATTCTGTAATGCTGGGCTTTTGGAGTTAGGTATATAGTATCTTACAGGTAAGGGTTGACCGTATCTGCATTCTACCAAATATTATCTGTGCTGAAAAATGCTATATAAGTATATATTCTTCGGTGTTGATGTTGATTTTTTATGCTAGTAAATGTTCTTAAAATATTCAAATAAATCCAATCAGAGTTTCTTGGTGGAGGTTGCTAGCATGTTGATGGGACAGTTGGAGAATTCTTTATCATGTGTTTGTGTATCCTTGTCTCTGGCTCACAAAAGCCCAGCGGTATCTTCCAGTCACTGTGGTACACAGTGTGACCTAGGGAACAATCGTTGAGAATCACTGCATCTTAGCATGCAACTTTAAAGAGGTTATTTGGCATTTTTCTACTCTCACCTGAAATCATTTTTGCTGCATGCAAAATTAATGGGCTTGGTTATGCTCAATGATTCCTTATGTAAGCAGGCTCTGTGTCAACAAACTAAAGAAAGAAACTAAGCAAAGTAGGCATGTAAAAGAAAGTACTGTTTTGTAGTGTTGGAGGGATTTTGAGCATATTTGCTCTAGTGCTAAATCTATTTTTTTAAGTTTATATGGAGAAACAGATTAAACACAACGTAAGAAATGGTCAAATATCGGTGCTTAAATATTATGGAGGCATCCTGCAATTTGAGCAGCAGCAAGACACAGTCTTTTCCTGTTATTGCTTTAATAACAGATGATCACAAATACAGTAGCTTAAACCAACACAAATTTATAATCTTACAGTTCTGCAGATAAGATTCTGTAGGTAAAGTATCTACAGATCTGCATATCTTTCCTGAGACTCTTGGGGAACAGTTCATTTCCTTGCCTTCTTTGGCTTCTAGAGACACCCTTTCTCCATTTTCAGAGCCATCAACAATGCAGTTGTCACATCTTCTAACTCTAAACTCAGTCAAGAAAAGTTCTTTGATTTTGAGAACCCCTGTGATAAGATTTGGCACACCTGGATAATCCATCATAATCCCCCTATCTCAATGTCCTGGATTTAATCATACATCAAAGTCCCTTTATCCATGTAAGGTTACATATTCATAAATTCTAAGGATTAGGGCTTGGACCTATTTGGGAGTGTTTATTCTGCCTACTTCAAGTAAAAAGGATCAATTGTTCAGAAATGTCTCAAGTGGTAGAGGTAGGATTATCTGACATTTCATTGTATAGGGTTGAGAGGATGTAGCTTCCTGAGCTGATGAGGCAGGCCCTCATCTTAACACTGCAAATCCTATTACGTAGATGCAGGCACTTGTGGCTTTGGGTTTTCTTGGAGTGATCATCATTGGAGAAAGTGAATAAGTTGAAGTCCAATGTCACCTTTCCCGGTCAGACTTTTTGGTACCACGGTGTGGTCCCTGGAGAATGTGCTGCTTACAGTATTTCTCCAACTTTAGAGAGTTCACCTATAGTGCATGGTTCCCAGATCTTTAAAAGGCACCAAAGAAATGTGAGATTTTTATTTCATACTGTTACATCTGCCTGTTGTAGTAAACTTTGTTTATTAGACTCTAAAATATGAAACTGGAGGGAGAATAATATTCTGAAACTTTACTGTAGTGATATTTATTATAGTTAATTTCTAGAAATGATGTAATTTCCTTTAGATAATAGGTAGGTCATCCCCACAAAGTAAGAAAGCACTTATTTCTGATAAGGGAAATTGATTACTGTGTTAATTTTTGAAAACCAGAATTTTGGTAGCATGTCCCCTTCCTACCCATGTCTGTCTACTTCAGGAATTCAGACCTAACTAGTAGGGTAACTGTCCCGATTTGTCTGAGACTGAATTAGTT